AAGAGTTTGCTGAGTGAAAATGACTGGGGCTGACTGACTAGGGAATGTCAGAATATGCAAGAGCTTTTTAGGCCTACTCTATATCTAAAACTTAGGTAAACCTAGCTATATCGCTAAGGGGTTTGAAAAATTCACACCCGAGACACACAGTTAAGCCAATCTCAGTCAATGGAAGAATTCTTCTTTCAACATAGTTACTGCCTCTCAAGGGGATGCAAAACCCTTTCCATTGCTGTAACAAGTGTCTACACTATAGCAGTATACCTATAATCCAACTGTATCACCGTAGAGCTTGTAGAGTAGACGTACCTTTTAGAGACACAGGATCTCTATTTTCTCTGTAACCAAAGCTATGGGCTGGTCTACACTAGAAAACTTAAGTCCACCTAGCTACGCCACTCAGCGCTGTGAAAAATTCTTCTGTTAATCTAGCTGCCATCTCTGTGAGGTAGATTACCTACACCAATGGGAGAACTCCTCCCATCAGCACAGGTAATTTCACACAGACATCCCCAAAGACAAGAAAAACCCATAACCTCTAAAGAGTGGTAACAAAAGGTAAACTGTTTCTGGAATGCACATCCCTCTCTCAGGCTGTCTACACACTACCCAGCTTTTAGCTACCAGGGGCTTTTTTAAGCACCTGTGAACGAAAAAAGTTTTGTCGTTCAATCGGCAGTGTAGACAAGCCCTCAGAGTCAGTCAAGGGGCATGGGCAGAGATTTACACTTTCAGCAAGCAGTACTGCCCTCAGGCTGCAGCAGGCAAACACAACGAGAGAAGCCAAAAATACAAAGATGAGAGCTGGTTATGGTGTTTGTCACAAGGGCCCACACAGTCAAAGCCATTTGCTTCTACTGTAGCTAGAGGTTGAGACAGCCACAGTTTCTGTAGCCTGCTGGTCACAAGACAAAGTATTCAACATAAGATAATGGAGAGTCTCAGATGCAAGAAGTACAATTTGGCAGCTGAGAGGCTCAGGTACTAAAAAGTACCTAAAGATTACCTTCCACACGTGAGAAGTGTGGCTTTATACCCTGTTAAAAGCAGAGTACCTTGTAAGAACAGATAAATCTCTTTTAGTAAATTAGAATTTCACCACCCCTCTCACCCTGAAAAATATATACATCTGTAGTCGTCCAATCCTATTTGTCTAGAAAAGGTATTTTAATCTTTCTCCCCTCCTTGAACATAGATCAAATCCTCAAAAGACCCAGTCCCAGTTCAGAAGCTGAAACAACTCAGAGCAGCTTTTTCCTATTAATGCCCCAGATATCACCTCTGAGGATTTCTTCACCCAGTGATTCCCAATATGTTTTTTTCCTTCTCAAGTATTGGCATATTAGAAATGCACATATTAAGTGAAGTATTTTCAGCTTTATATTTGTGACCTGCTTTGTTTAGATAACAGCATGTGTTTTATAGGTGGGGCAACAACAACCCTTATACTGTATTAAGATTGTCTAATACTTTCCATTACGCATTTGACTTAAAAAAAAAAAAAAAAAAAAAAAAAAAAAAAAAAAGAGCTCTAGTAATTCAATGATTTGCAGCAGCACTTGGAATTTTGGCAAGGGGGCAGACCTGGGGTAAGTGAGGTGCTTTTGCTGTTCCCATGAAAATCCATTTGGATTTGGCGCAGTTAAAAGATCTGAAATGGTCCTGTTCCATCTGTGTTTTGCTCAGTACAACTTGCTAAAAGCCTGCTATCAAAATTCCTTAACATTCCATTAGCAATGCTCATGCATCAACTCACCATTTCCTTTCAGCAGGCCACACAGACCTGTAACTCTTGACAAGTCACACAAAATGTATCCTCCTATTTCTCCTCCCTCTATCTGAGCACCCAACTGCCTGGGGGGAGTGTGACCTGGGCTGGGAACCAGGAAGCCATGAGTTTTACATTTCTTCTAAATTGCTGTTAATAATTTGGTGCCCTTCACAATCATTACTGAGCAAGGCCTCATGCTCCACTGTCAGGTTACACAGGGAGGAAACAGAACTCTGATCTTTGATATAGCTGATCCAAGTCTCACCCACTTCACCATATGGACTTTCAGAAAGAGTCAGCCAATTCTATGTTCAAGGCTATACTATCTAAAATAGGGCTACTCATACATATGCAATCTTTAAATGTCAAGTGGGTGGAGTTAATTTTTGATCTAAAGAGACAGATGAATACATATAAGAATTATTTTTATATATTCCCATCAAACAGAATTACCTGTTCTTAAAATCAAAGATTCAATTTTATCAAGAAATAGTTAATAGTTTGGCATTTTCACTAGTTTGACACACTATCACATTCAAAACCAAACCTGCAAACTAAAATCAGAGAGTATAACAGCATTCGAAAACACCTGCATGTGCCTCACTTTTTTACATGTTAGTTTTAAGCATTAGGTTATTCTTTTTATTTTATTTTTTAAATCAAACTTTAACCCAAAACATTTTTAGAAGATCAAGATAGTAAGGCTATTGCTGGAAAAGCAAATTCAACTGCCTCTTCACTGCAAGAACTGCTATGCTGTAGATCTTGAACAGGATACATAATTTAAAGTAACTTTAATAATGGTTATTTTTAAATTTAAGAATCCAAGTTAAAAATACAGTTTGTGATAGTGTATTGTGAAAACTGAAGAACAGTGTGCTTGTTCTAGCTCCATGCTCAGTCAGGACTGTGATGTGGCTACAACTTCTCACCAATAAAGTTCATCTCAAACTATAATCCATGGGGAAACAGAGCGAAGCAGTAACCCAAAAAGCAAATTTCTGACTGCAACCTCTTCTCACACAGCCTGCAACAGTAAGAGTCTTGTATACCCTTTTGCCAATACTGTCTGTTTATGAAGAGGTTTGTTGTCAGACTAATTCTGTTTAAGCCACTTCACAGAAACGCAGTATTGGAAGACTGTCCAAATTCACATTAGTATTTTAACAACAGATGAAAACAGTTCTCTTTGTTATAAATACCAAATTCAAAAAGGGAATCAGTATCACAAGTACAAGATCAACCCAAAAAAAGGATTAATTAATTTAATAGACCCAAAACGTGCGTTAGGCACTTTACAAAAAGAAACCGTCTCTGTCCTAAAGAGCTTACAATCTAAGGTTAGATGTGGCACAAGTGACAGAAGAGAGAAGGAAAAGACACTTTCAGCAATAAGACAGTAACAATAGCGCAAGGCACAGTAGGCTGAATGATCACACAAACTGTTTTCATGAGCTAAGTAGGGATCGGTCTGATTAACAACTGAATAGAAAAAAACCATGGAAAATGTAAGTTACCTACTACAAATGGCATGTGTTTGGGGCACCACCCTTCACTACCACAGTCACTACCGAACCCTGGTGGAAGTACTCTCTTTTGGGCGACACACAAAAATCAGCGCCTTGGGTTATTACTGCTCCTACAGGACATCTTGCAAGAGTACGGATTTTAACCTTGGCACCATAACCAAATTCATGCTACTACTTTCTGCCTAAACAAAATGTCACCCAATGTGTCAACTGGCTGCATAATATATTCATCTTTTCCTGTCTGATCTATTGTGCAGTGTTGCTGCACTGTACTAAACAACTTCCACATTCCTTTCAAAGGAGACTGCATTTTGATGATGGATGAAGTGACTATATGTTCATTGATTTAGTTTTCAGAGGCCCCTGGGATTCTTTGATATTCAATAACAACATAAAAAGGGAACTTTTCCTACTACCAATTTCTTCTCTGGGTTCAGGATTCTACTAGCACAGAACAGAAAAGTAGTTCCTCCTCACATGCAGATTAGGACAGAGAGGAACCAGTGAAAAGCTCATTTTACAACACGTCATTTAGCTTAGCACCACTCACTTGTCCTACTCTCTCCTCACTCAGTACTTCCAAAGCAGGAAAAAAAATTGGTTTTGATTAGTAGCCTGTATAAAAGCCTCACATTTTCCACAGAATCTTTTATAGATTCCTAACTAATCAAGAGAGATGAGTCTACACCAGAGGAATCTAGGACACAAAAGAATTGGTGGTAAGAAAATTCTCCTTTATGGGGCCTGGCTCAATTAGCACAGAACAGACGGGATCTACTTAATATTCCCCATTAAGATTTAGGGAGAGAAAGACAATGTCATAGGTATCCAAATTCCCTAAAATGACATCTTCTCAGCCAAAAATTTTAATAGAAAGACACCTATTGCTTGGAGACCCAAACAAGCCAGGGTTTACTGAGAACAGTCTGGTAGATTACTGCATGAAAGACATCTCCAAAGATGGAATGACCAGCTATATTGTCAGATTTACACTTGCAAAGAGCACAACACAACAGCCCTGTACAAATTTCCCTACTGTAGCCTTACTGCTGTCCGCTCTGAAGGTTGCTGTAACTCAAGAAGAGTGAACAAAGATGATGAAAGTTTGTAGGCCTCTGACATGCAAGAACAAATCCATCTTACTTACTAATAAATCCATCTGTACTTTGGCCTTCAAAGAAGGCCAATTTATACATCATTTTGCCCTTTTGCTTCCTTCTGTCATCTGCACTCATGTCGATTCCAAAAAATGAAATCACAAGCCAAAAATAACCTAGGCCTGTAAGGAAAACGTTTTCCCTAAAGGAATGAGACTGCAGTATTCCAGTGAGGCAGGAGAAAACAAGGAGAGCAGAGTGGAGTCTAAATTGGACACCAAAGTGACATCTTCCCATTGTCTGTTAATCCTGCTTAATCTACATATAACAAGCATCTTCACATCTGCTCCAACACTGTAAAACAAAGTTACATTTATTCTGTTCTGAGAGTGTTTACATTAATACTCCAAAAAGCAATGGTATTTATGTGTTTGTTAAATAAAGGGCTTGTAGAGAGAACATGTAGCATTACAACTCCTTGCTGCAAGGTTACTACCTATAAATGCACTTTTTAAGTAAAACCTCCACTTGCAGATACTGAATTAATATTTGCTTTAAGAATGGGACTGCAGAGAAGTAGTTGCCCTGTGCATGTGTACATACCTTTATCCTTCTTGAAATCCAAAGCATCTTCCTTATCTGTCACTATTTCCTTCATGTTGATAATGCTTTGATGGTTAAGCTGTCGAAGAATCTTAATCTCCCGAATAGCTGTAATTGGAAAACCTTCCTTTTCATTATCCAGCCGTACTTTCTTTAGCGCCACCATTTCTCCTATGAAAAGGTTTAAATATAAAAACATGAAGGATAGCACTCAAACAAATGAAGTTCAGATTTTTCTGTCACTCAATACATCCTTTTTGAATTACAATATTTAAAATAAAGATGTCAATCATTCGTGTTCCAGTATGTGCACCTGTACTAAAAATAAAATAAAAAAAGTAAATTCAGCTCCATGTTAACAAAACACTCACAGCTCAGACACCAAATCTTTTGCAGAAGTGAAACTACAAGACAACTTTCTCACAACTACTAAATAGCCTTCTTCCTTCTTTCTCATCTGCAATCGGATCTGCCTCCTTGGGTTTCCAATCACTAAGCCCACACACAAGAGTGAGTCAACAGCATCTCTACATTTAAAGGCCTACACATGCTGCAGATTTCACATTACAGGACACCTGAGGTCGGGAAATAGACGGAGGTTCTTTCTTGCGTCTTTTTTCCTTTTGATAAGCAATACATCCAACACATTTGTAATGTAGCCAAGAATACTAATGTAAAGTGAGATGATCAAACGAGAAAATAAAACAACATACATCAGGAAACTTAATCTCAAAATACTGCTTATTATAAGGTGCTGAGCAAAATGTCCTTTGATACCCCATGGTTGGTGTTCCAAGAAAGCCATAAAATAAACAGATAGGCAGTTACAAGTTTTGCAACATTTCAGCTTTTAGTTAAACTAGGATGCCATAAATGAGAATTATCTGACTACTATAGGAAAAGCAACCTTAGAGATCACATTTCAGGGTGTCATTGTACAGGAGGCCCTCCCCCTTTATATTATTTCAGGTAGTAGCTATGAAGGTGCAAGGAGGAGAAACTGCAAAGTTCCTGAATATACCCTTTGTTCAACAGCTTCTTTCATCAACAGTTCCTACAAGCATTACTGCTGTGCCTCTCTCTTTTCTTTCTCACTAACTGTCTTCAAGGCATGAAAGCTGAAGTAGGAAATTGGCCAAAAAATACCTGCACCCTATGCTTCTAGCAATAACCTGCAGTTACATGATTTTAAGCAGCATAGAGAAATTACTACTACTATGAAGAACTACCAGGATCAAAACCCAACACAATTCTGAAGAATTTTCCAAGATAAGAAGGGCAGAAAAGCACAAGCATTTTACAAAATATACCAAATTAAATCCATGTAATACTGCAATTCTGGAGTTAACAGCACTCATTCATTATATATTTTTAGATCTTACCTGTATCCTTATCCCTGGCTTTGTAAACTTGCCCATAAGTGCCTTCTCCGATAATGCCAATTATATCAAATTTATCCACGCAGCGTTTTCCCCAGTCAATGTCTTTTTCCTTTGTTTCACCATGGCGTGGTCCACATATTCTATTAAATAAAAATTAGCTCTAAAAATACATCCATAAAAATATCAAAATGTTCAGAAATAAGTTCTGTAAAAAGTAACCTTTTTCATATTACTAACTTCTTAGAAAAACAGATCTGAGAGAACTGAATGAATTCAACTTTCAACACTTATGTTCTTTTAATTTCTCTCAGCTTGGACAAAGAAAACAGACTAGTTAGTTTCAGTTTCATTTGCCGACTCTTTCCAGTCAATCGCTTTGCATTTCTCCTGCCCTAGCACAAAACTGCATTATTCGCATTGAAAACACCACAAAGGAATGTTTGTTTGTTTAAAAATGGTCTCCACTGAAGTTTATAAAAAAGCAAAATTATTGTGTCTCAGGAAAGATACATTTTGAGTCACATTTTACTTAACAGTTTCTGCATCTGTCCATCCAAAACAATACACACACACTTCACTAATCTATTAAACAATGCCTACCCAATGGTTAGTACATTTAACTATCATAAAAGGTATCTCATTCAGTATCTGCCTTCTTCAAAGTGTTACAGCTGCAGCAACCCCATTGTAAAAGGGTGAATGGGTGCAAAGAAAGGAACAGCATCTAGCCTTACCTATTAATCACTTTCTGGATAGTTTACACAACAATGAATTTCAAGGGAAAGTTTTTAATGTGGTGCTTTAAGGGAGGGTATACAAGCAAGAGGACATAAAACCAAGTAACAGTCTTAAACATGGGTTGAGTGGGCACTTTCAGTTCTGCATCTAAAGAGGACCTTCACAGTTACTCACCAACAAGCCTATTCCAAACCACTTTCTTTTTGTCTGCACTTTCTGCTCATTTGGTCCCTCATCATTACAGCACACAGAAGGGCAGAAGGATGAGGGACCAAAGGATGAGGATAAATAAGGGAATAGGGTTCAGAGAAACTTAGTGCAAATGAGGCAAATAGGGAAATGGTGGGCAGGAGTACAAAATTCCATCTTCTCAAATGGTGCCAGTACACCTAGGGACTGCCTTGCCTGTCTAGAAGACTCTCAGAACTAAAACATTCTGAGTCATTTAATGGTTAAAAAAAGGCTTAAATAGCACAAAGCAGAACTAAATCGATTGATTCAAGATTTGCTGCAGGCATTAACCTATTTCCAGTACTTCCTATGTTGAATAATTATAAAAAGCCAGGTAAATTATATATATTTCAAATTTTTATATTTTGGAGAAACTTGTGTATCACTTTGTCTTACATGCAGTTTTTTTTTTTTTTTTTTTAAAGGAAGTAGTAAACATACTTAGGCCTCCTTTTGCTGTGTGACTGAACTGCTGGTTTCTTTTCTTCAGGACTTTTCGATAAATCATCTCCTCCAGGCAACTCTGGTGGGAGTGGCAAGTCTGCAAGCAGATGTCGTAGTTTCTTCTCCACTTCCTTTTTAACTGCCTTCACTGAAAGATTCCCTCGCAAACTATAAAGATAAACAGAATCAGCTAAAACGGACTAAAATTCTTTTCCGTTTCATGACTGGAAACCTAACGGGGGTGAGACCTCAGTGGAATTCACTACAAGTGACAATTTCATATAGTCTGCTTTAACAGCAGTCTCTGCTTTTACAGCCCGGAGGACATTTGTTTATGTTTTACATGTGACTACTGAACAGAGTGATCTAAGAACTACAGAGCTGACTGCTGAGTTGCTGCAAAAGCTGTGAACTAAGATGAAGAATACCTTTAGTTTTTTCCTGGTGAATGTTAAAGTTAGTCATGACAGCATGTATTAGAGGCCAGGACAGGTAGTCAGGAAACCTGGATTGAGCCCTGATCTACACTGTGTGTGGGGGGGGGTGTCGACCTAAGATATGCACAGCTGAAGTCGGCGTATCTTAGGTTGACTTACCTGGCCGTGAGGACGGCGGCAAGTCGAGCGCTGCTGCTCCCCCATCGACTCCGCTTCCGCCTCTTGTGAGCTGGAGTTCCGGAGTCGACGGGGAGCGCGTTCGGGGATTGATTTATCCACGTCTAGACAAGATGCGATAAATCGATCCCTGATAGATCGATCTCTACCCGCCGATCCGGCAGGTAGTGAAGACCTGCCTAAGTCTCTGCCACACACTTCACGTGTGAGCTCATGCAATTCAATTAGCCTGGCCTTTTACTATTTTCCCATCTGTGAAGAGAGGATAATACTTACTCATCTTACAACAGTATTTTGAAAGGCACAGTTAGAAAAGCAAAATCTTTTTTTCTTTTAATTCCATTAAAAAAAAAAATCTGATGCACAAGAAGCATATGAGCACATACATGGAGGCAGGGAGTCTAACTCCATGTCCCACATTGCCTCACACATCTTGTTACTCCATATGACTGTCACCGTTTGGCTCTCTGCTATTCACTAGCCTATTTTTAAAAATAAGCTCTCTAAAAATACAGTACTATGGTGACTTTTTCCACTGTTTCAGTGGACCTTTTCAGTAACTATATTATTTCATTGGCAAAACTGGTCTATAAATAATCATTCTGACATTGATTTAATACTGATCTTGTGTGGAGGCCTCACCATTCTTCAAAGTTTTCAGACTGCACTGATAGCAATTTGAACCCAAAATTGGTCTACTAAAATAATATGAATAGTCTAATATAGAACTTTCAATCATATTCCCTCTCATCCACTTATGTCTTTTCATACTCCCCCTTACTGTGTCCCTTCTGCTATTTTGCTTCATTTGCTTCTAAATCTAGAAGGATGTAATACTTATCCTGGGACTGTTACTGGATCAAAATAGTCTGTTCGCCCATCCCCCTGTCAGTCCCATAGTAGTTTGAATCAGACATTTTTCTAAAAACAGCAATTTTATTAAGTGCACTGCCTTATTTTATGGAAATTGAAAACATAACACTGGAAAGAAGGTTTCTAGCCAGCAAAGGCATCAGGCTCTGGAATTGCCTCCCAATAATAGTAGTGCAGATAAAAGACCTAACTGGTTTTAAAATGGAGCTTGATAAGTTCATGAAACTGATTATAAGATGTGGTTGCTTGCAACAGCAGGAGGCTGGACTTTACAACCCAGGAGGTTCCTTCCCTTCAAATGTTCTTACAAAATTATATAATGTTTATGTATGTTACACACAAAAATAAGCTACTTGTATAATTTAATTCTACCATTGCTTTAGAGTATTAGTTACCATTTGAGGCACCAGAATACCAACTTTTTAAGAGATCACATGGCTATCTGAATGTGTTACAAGTAGATAGTGGGTAACATCTCAGATTACTGTAAATGAAAGACTAAGGAAAACTCTCCACACCCCCCGTTTTACTTTACATATTAGACAGCATTTTTTATATAGTCAATTTCTCCCCTTTGTCTTTCACACAACAGGGAAGAGAACATGTTTAAATAGAAAAATGTTACTATAAAAGCCACAACATTACTAAAGGGAGCCAAAGCTTTTTTCAAAAACAGAATCTTTTGATTTTGAATTGACGGACTTGAATTCCTCTTAGACTATTAGAAGTGGAAGTCCAGGTATTTTTCCTATGAGTTTCAATAAGATCTCCGATCATCTTGTTACAATGTGATATAATCATTTCTAGATTGGTAACGTAGTCCAAAAGGTACAATATTTGCCTATCTACTAGAATGTTAATTTACAAAGATAAAATCAATTGGTAGAACTAGTTTCTAAAATCCAGTTTGCAATATATTGTGTACACATGGCCCTCCCTAATTTTCAGACTGGTAACTCAACTATTTCTGAATAAAAATATAATCTGAAGTTAAACTGGCTAGGATATATTACAATGCACATTTAACATTCTATTTCAGGTAGAAGCTGTTTATCAGCTGGGATCAGGAAGCAATTTCTTTTTTCACACCTCAATAAATAAATGCTGCTCAACTGACCAAGCCCTTTAGGGGTTAATTTTTTGCCCTCCTCTCTGCTCTAGACCAGGTAATTTACAGTAGATATTTGTAACCAGAGTCTTGTTCTCATGAAAACAAAAGGCAGTTTTGTCACTATGTTCAAAGAGAGTATGACTGAGCCATGCATTCCCATGCTCACTACACAAATCCATCATTTTTGGAGGAATGAATTGAATTCTGCTGGCACTTCTGAGGAAAAGAAGCAATTTCTTTCCTATAACACAGGAATTTTGTCAGATATTTCAATTGTATTTCTTTCACAATCTTTGTACTTTAACACACATTACACCCTGTGTTTTTTATATTTAGCCATCCATTTAAGTCTGAATTCCTAGCAACTTTTATTTACAGGTAAGACACACATGGGCTGCTACTACACAGGTTAAAATGATAAAGGAAAGCAGACCAAACAAGTGTAAACAAGTGTAAATTTGAACGATTACAATGCTACATAAAGTTCTGTGCTTCTCTCTAGTGCAGAGGTGGGCAAACTTTTTGGCCTGAGGGCCACATCTGGGTGGGGAAACTGTATGCAGGGCCATGAATGTAGGACTGGGGCTTGGGGTGTGGGAGGGGATGTAGGGGGTTGGGGTGTGGGAGGGGATGCAGTGTGCAGGAAGGGGCTCAGGGCAGGGGGGTGCAGGAGTGGTTCAGGATGCGGACTCTGTTCCATCACTGCTTACCTCGAGCAGCTCCCGGGTGGCAGCGGGGCTAAGGCAGGCTCCCTGCCTGCCCTGGCCCTGCGCCACGCCCAGAAGTGGCCAGCATGTCCGGCAGTGGCTCCTGGAGGTGAGATGGGGCAGGTGGCTCCGCTACGTGCTGCCCTCACCTGTGGGTACCACCCCCGAAGCTCCCATTGGCCACGGTTCCCCGTTCCCGGCCAATGGGAGCTGCGGGGGGCGGTGCCTGCAGGTGAGGGCAGCACACGGAGCCCTCTGCTCCCCCATCCTCCCGGGGCCGCAGGGATGTGGTGCCGACCACTTCCGGGAGCAGCGTGGGGCCAGGGCAGGCAGGGAGCCTGCCTTAGCCCCACTGCGCCATGGGGCTGGCAATCCCCCGGATTGAAAACCCTGACGGGGCGGATCCGGCCCGCGGGCCATAGTTTGCCCTCCCCTGCTCTATTGGTTTAAGTCAAAGCAGTGTCTTTACACAGCTGCATGGAATCTTTAAATCATGTTATCACTGCAGCTTCAATGCTAGGAATATTAAAATGGATGTCTTCACATGTTGACTTTTTTTTGGCACTAATCTTTTAAAATTTTAATTTACAAGCTAAGGGCAGACTGAAAATCCATAGCCTATGAAAGTGTGGTATTGATAATACACACTCTAGACTTAATATTGCTCAAAAATCAGAGGAAAAGAGCAACAAGCTCCGATTTAACAATTTTCTAATACTGATAAGGTTTCTATCTCAGAGCTAAAAAAAAAAGTTGAATATGGTCTAGGTTCCATAACTGTTTAGGACCTAGAAATACTTCACTATGGACATAATATTTTTGTAGTTCATATTCACTTCAAAGACAAACTGCTAGCTGCTTTACTTGCTAAAACCAGTGCTCATTACCATTGCAGTGCTTACAATGTTGCTAACCCCTTCAAGAAATAGGGAGTTGCATTCATTACAATGCTGTAGGGGGTCAGTGCTGTTACTATCAGAGAGGGAAAATGAACCCTGAACTCAAAGCCTTGGCAAGTAAATTACGGAGGAACTACTTGTACTTCTCAAATATTGTTACCAAATGCATTTTTTCATAAGTCTAGTTGTATGTAGCTGAAGTTATATGAGCTGATTTGAGATCTTAAATATTTTTTGTGTGCGCAAATTATTAAAAAAAACAACTTTTCAATCCACCTCCAATTTTCAGCTTGTCCTTCTCCAGTAGAATTTTTACTGACAAAGTTATCTTAGAACAAACCCTTCCCCCATCTTAACTCCTGGAATATACAAGTAGATTACTTATAAGTATAAATAATGTCTCTGCGCCTTTAAGTTCCTAATAACCACCATCTTAAATCGAAGTTAACTGAAGAACAGAAACAAACCGCCTAAAGTGGAGCTTTTGATCAGTCCTATGCAATTGTGCAAGTTTTTATTTCTTTAAAAATATACGTGAATGTATATACTCACCTGTCAGTATCTGTATCTTCAGGCAGCATGGGAGGGAAAGGCAAGGGTGGCAGCGTGGAGGTTAGTAGCGCAACATTTCTATCTTTCTCCTTGGCTCCTACATTTGGTGTATGTGGTTTGTTTTTCTCTTTTACAGTGACTGGTTGCTGCTTTACAACAACTGATTTATTCTCTTTTACTGCTGCTGCTGCTGCTGTTTTCTGTTTAGCCACTTTGTCTACAATCAAATTATTTTCCACCTTTGTCTCCTGAAGAGAGACCTTCGCTTTTGTCTTGTCATTTTTCAAAGTTGCACCACTTGTAGGAGAAGGTGTATGCTCAGTTTTTATTTTCTTCAGATCCTTCACATTGTTTGTTTGAGGTACACTCACACCAGTGTCAGTGTTTCCCTTAGTAGGCGTAGAGGTGTTTGAAATTTTTGCATTGGCTTTGGCTGCTTCTGCAGCTCTAGCTTTTTTGTTCTTATTCAACTCAGCAGCCAGGCTACTTTTTAGAGTCAGTGTGCTAGGAGAAATACTCGAGTGACGACTTCTGGACCTAGATAATCTGTGCCTGCTGCGAGACCTTGAGCGTCTTGATGAGTAAGGGCTTCTGCTTCGGGATTTTGCTGATCTCCTGCTTCAAAACAGTAAAGATTTGGTCAATTTAGGCTTAAAAATAAAGAATGTCTGTTTATTTAACCTGCCTTCCTTATTATTGAGCAGCTTTTGCAAACACTGTCACTGCCATTACTATGTTTAAAGGGTGAACATGAATCTAAATAAACGCATATGGAAAAACTTTCAGAAACAATGAGAACTCTATCTCTGAATACAATATCCATAGCACAGACATAACCACACAGGACCTCAGGATATATTATGAATCTTTTTTAGCAGAGCTCCTTTGTAAAAAGTCATTAGGAAATCACAAAAATATAAACACACAGAAAACACATTGCATGCCTTCTGATCAGCTGTTCATTTCCTTCCTCAGTTTCAGAACTGTTCTTTGCTTGTTGATAGAAATAGCTTGATACTAAGCAACAACGATTTTAAAAACTACATAAATATGAGGATAAAAAATTGCTTTGTTGACAGGAAAAAAGTCATGGAACTACAGCAATGTTAATTCTGCAATTTTGGACCTCTTGTTAATGTTTCTAGTACATATTTAGCAAATTGAAATATTAAGTTATACACTTAAAGAAGAAAAAGAGGAAGAGAAAACACTATTTATGAAGCTGAAGTAATATTGCTGTAAGAACCTTAATTTGTGAATTTGCTGCCTTATAAAAATATCTGGTTAACTATTGTTGCAGTAACTTTTTATCATTATCTTGTATTTGAGAAATACTACTGAATACATAGTTAGAAACTATTGTGGTGAGCTGCGCACAAAGAGGCAAACTGAAAGACACATTCAATCTTAACTTTCATTTCTGAGGACATCATGATACAAGCATAATGCTGTATTAATGCATTTTTGTAAGACAGTCCATACTTTTTTTAGACAGATAATTCTCCCTGCATATCCCCTACACCTCATCACAAGCATGTGTAACCGACAAGCTGTCATACTACCGTATGTTATTTATTTACATTGCAGAAAAGGAAGAGCAACAAGGGAGAGAAGAAAAGAATGTCAATCATCTGGATTTCTGCACATGTGCAGAGAACAGAACAGGACACACATTTACAAGTTCCCAGGAGGGAAAAATATCCAAAAGAGAAAATGTTGGTAGTTATGGAGAAAGCTCAGCAATTGTTTGAAGCCATTGTGAAAGATACCAGTTCACATGCATTTTTACTTTACTAATTCAATAGATTCCATATTTCGACTTGCCTAGTAGCTTTGATTTAGTTTTTTGTTGCAAACTACTAGAGACAAACTGCCAATTTAGACCACAGGTGTTAAAAATTGGCTGCTCTGAGTAAAATATAAATGAAGTGCCCTAACTTATTACTATTCCATGAAAATTTATGAAAGTGTTTCTTCATCCACTTTATTTTACTATGCATATCTGTCACCAAGTATATTCACCATATCCACAATTGTTCTAAATTAAGTTTAGTGGAACTACACTGTAATTCTACTTTTCTTGACTAGATCATTCCTGGGGGAAAAGTTATTTCAGTGAGTCCATTTATCTAGGTTAAAAAAATAAGCTAGAATAGTGAGGATCCGAGTTCTCAGTGTGCTGTACACTTCAGCTCATAACAAATATAACCAGACAACATCTAAGAACTGGCAGCTAAAACAAGGAAACAAATATCATGAATGTTCCTGGAATGTTTCATGTGTTTGAATAGTACCAGCTAATTCAATTCTGACTGTGCATAATATATTTTATTCATATACATATATGTGCTTCAGATAAGTTGATCTTGTGTTATACAGTATTAAAATAGAGAAGATACTATTACATATATATTGGTTAATTTCCAAAAGAGAAACATGAATCTTGTATGAGAAAAGTAGGGGTTTTCAACTCTTGCTATTGAAATATCAAGATTTCACTGAGTTAAACACGTTGATAGCACATTTAGATTAAGTAGGACGGCTGCAATATGCTATAAACTAAAACTGAAACTAGTGGCTATATGGAGCTATATTTCATTAGATATGTCAGAACAATTTAACAGTTCAAAACACAGAAAATCAACCAAAATCTTTTCTCCAAGATATATACCTAGTTCCCGAGAAGTTTAACATAATTCACTTCTATGCCAGAAAGAAGGTTTTACAGAACCCTCTGGCAGAATTGGAAGAGGTCAGAAAAGAAGAAAACTGGAGGGGGGGCGGGGGGGAATCACTGTACTCTACAGCATTTCCAATTGACACTGAAATAATTATGTAAAATGCACTTTTTCAGATAAGTATGTTGCAGCTCTGGCACATAAAAAATTAAGGAAAATACTTTGAATTAACTTTTAATGGAAGCAGTGCGTTAGTGAACTAAACACATTGCTTTGAGTCTGGAGACTTGGGTTCTTTTCCTTACTCTATAATTTAGTTGCTGACCTTGGGAATGTCACTTACATTTCTGTGCCTTAGATCCCTCATCCGTAAAATGGGGAGAATGTTTTCTACTTTTAATAAAAGGCAAGACAGAACCAAAATGGCCAGCAAAATATTTTGTTATACTGAACTGGTGGTTCTCTTCGCGTCCCCCCCCCCCCCCCCCGCATTATGTATGCCTGTAAGTTTTTGTTCCATCACCCCTCCCCACACACATTTTTTTTCCGGTTTGTTTTTGACCTTGGAAATGTAAGAAATGTCAAGTCTTGCATTCTCCAGTTTTTCTGGAGGACTTCTAGAAACTTGCCTACACTAGAATGAAAGATGTATTTTGAAAACGTTGGCTAACATGAGTTTTAAAACTCTAGCATAGACAACACAAATAGTATTTTAAAACTAACTGGTGGAGCTAAACCCTTCAACCTCGCCCAGCTAAAGTATTAAAATAAAACTTGGTCCTATCTACATTAGGATTCTAAAACATATTAGTTAAATGTATTAACTACATTGGGGGAGGGATAGCTCAGTGGTTTGAGCATTGGCCTGCTAAACCCAGGGTTGTGAGTTCAATCCTTGAGAGGGCCATTTAGGGATCTGGGGCAAAAATCTGTTTGGGGATTAGTCCTGCTTTGAGCAGGGGGTTGGACTAGATGACCTCCTGAGGTCCCTTCCAACCCTGATATTCTATGATTCGCCAAAAGTTCCAAAATACTTTCCCAGGCCTAGTTGACATGAAGCTTTCAAAGTGTTACAAGAATTTCAATTAGGAGTGTGAGATTTTTTTTTCTTAAATAATTACACTGGTACAACTCATTGTGTGGACACAGTTATACCAGTACAAAGGTGCCTTATGTTGCTATAGCTTATTTCCCATCCCATATAGAAAAGAGCTTTACTGTTATGAGCATCTTTATACCAATGTAACTGCATCAACACAGAAGGGGAGGGGGAAGGATGTACAGCATTAAATATTAGTAGTTTAAGTGGTATAACATTTGTGTTTAGACAAGGCTTTAGTCTTGACAGACCGTATGGAGGTCTCACAGAGATGTTTGTGAACTATAGCACTTAACTGAATGGGCCAGGATGCTGAATCTTTGAGGAAACCTTCTTTTACCCCAAGTGTTAGTCATTCAAGTTTCATAGGTGCTAATCAAAAAAACAGTTTTTAAACAGTCTGACTAAAATACTCTTCCTCTTTCAAACACTTAACTTCTACTCTTTTGGCCGGTATTTCATCATTTCCTTAGTTTACTAGTAATAACAGACTAACAGACTAGACTGGACCCAAATGCTTAATATATAAAAAAAAAAAAAATAGACAAGCAGAAAAGGAAAAAAAACTTCAGGCCTTCCTGATATGCCAAAGGAAAGAAAGAGGGCACAAGCACATTTCTTTTCCCTTTACAGGTTACCTTTCAGGAAAAAAAGTCTGTCCTCAGATGAGTGTACAGAACTCCATTTTCCCAACTGAGGGAAGAATTTGGTCTCAAGCATATACCAACTGGTTTTAACATTATTCAGAGGCTACACCTTAGTTTAAAAAAAGATCAAGTCACAAAGTTATAAAAATGGTCTCACACATGATGTCCGGACTTTGTCCAGATAACATGCTTGTTTTAAAAGAATCTTTATGGCAAATATCAGATTTGTGTACTGTAAAAGTTAGTGGACATCATGACAGGCACCTGACTTCTTATCAGTGCTTATATCAGAAGTCTGCTCAGTTCTTCAAAGACTACTGACATATATATTGCCCCATCTTACATGTATTTGCCACCAGATGCTTTGTGCTTAGTCATAAATTTCTACATTTATTTTTTATTTTACCTAAGGAACTATATTTTTTTAAATATCTGTTGCATTAACTATTGAAGAATATAAAAAGGATCTTTGGCCCAGTCTGGGGAGACTAGAGGCAGTACAAGACTTAAGTACCACATCCAGTTCTCCTCAACTGAAGGAAGTTGCCATAATGCTAGATTTTTAGAGGGAACTGTGGATGGAAAACAATTTAAAAAAATCCTGGCTTTATATCAGTCTGTTTCAATTTTTCCATGTTTATGCCCAGCAGCTGACATTGTTTGGTGTTTGTCAACCCACAGGCACCTGTCATATTTACTTATTTACTGTTAGGTGCATCTGTGGAACAGATGCACCCACAAAGGGAACACTGCATTGCTATAGCACAGCAGCACTTCACACCTAATTTTTAGCATTTATATAGCACTATACTTTTTAAAACATTACAAAAATTCATACAACACTTCTGAAGTAGACAAGGACTACAAATCCTATTTTATAGATGGAGAGAAACAGACAAACGAGATAGAATTAGAATTTAGGAGTTCTTGACACCTGACAACATGTTTTTCTGGAGCCAGCTTCAGAAGAACATACTTGGAGTGAAACTAGGTTATATTGGTTTCTCTCTGAAATAGGTTAAATGTATAGTACTGCTGCTAGACACAAATGGAAAGCAGAAAAAGGGAAAGACACAAAACATAGCATAAACGACAAGAGATATTAAAAAATAGAGAAAGGAATAATAGTAGAGGGCTTTCTCCAAAACAACCAAATCCAGCATGGTTTTGGGTAATGCTTTCACAGATTAG